ATAAGGAATCTGAATGGAGCCAGGGTATTGTGCTACGTTCAAAATCAACAAGTATGTTTCTTAATGGTTGTCTACATATTATGGGGGTATTCTGTGATACTTACTATAGATATGGAGGGAAAGACATGTAGAAAATTTGTAAGCCTCATGGTGCTCTGTCCTCCTTCCATCAAGCTCAGGGTCACTTGTGTGTGTATACTGTTGGTGGTCACAATATGTCGCAGCTTTCAATTTAGATCCTTGAAGACTATGGTACTAATAAATGGAAACTGAAGCATACTGTCAGGACGCTGAAGGTGTTTGGAAAAACTAATATTGAATTTGGTTATGTGGATTGTAATGCGGACTACACAGCGATTACAGTTCACCGAGAATGGAATTTGATTTTCTTTGTTGGAGAGGAAAGAACAATCATCGCATATGACATGGACCGAAAAAAAGTTAATGTCATCCCTACCCATGTGATTCGGTATGGTAGACGTAGAAATTGGTGGTGGAGTTATTATGGTAGTGCAATGGTTTGTCGTGGTCTAGTCCAATTTGGGTATTGGAGGGAAAAAAAATCAGCTCTACCAGCCCCCTTACAAGAATCCTCCTATTTGTTGGCTCCTATATTTCCCTCCCACTACCCATTCTTGTTGGCCCCCTGCTCGCTATCCAAATTTTCTTCGTATTTCTTTTCCGCGCGACTCTTCTTCGTTAGAATAGGCACCGCCGGTGCCGCATCTCTCTTCTTCGTGCGACTCTCTCCAGCGTGGCAGGCCCACCGGTGCGGGCGCTGCTCCTCGGCATGGGTGCCTCCCCGGCACGGGCAGGCCGCCCCGATGTGGGTGCCTCTCTACCACGAGCGCTAACCGGCGCAGGAACCGCAGGCTTCTTCCTAGCCTCCACGCCGTAGCAGCAGGCTGCCCCCACACCGGCTGGATCCATAGCGGCCCGCTCCCCGGTGACTCCCCTCCGAGCTGTGGAACCTCCTCCGGCCACTACCCGGTGGCAGCCTGCTCCCCATGGCCGAGTTCATCAATGGCGACAAGGAAGATGATTTCATGTGGATCCCACATGTCATCCACTTTTAAAATGAGCTTGAGAGCCATGGTTTAGGTAGTATTGCTAGAGTTAGAAGCAAAAAATAGGTAGTACCCAAATAGACAAGTAGACAAGTATGGGGTCTGATTCGGGTAGCATTTCTGGAGATGCTAAGGAGAGGCAGGGTAGGGTAAGGAAATTTAACCTGATAATGCAATGGTGTACCCTAATAATGCAATGGTGTTTTTTTTTCTTTTTGTAATACAAGTGGATCTATCCATTTCAAGTTTGCAACTGCTTTTTTTCATTGCAATTTTGGGTAACCTTATGCTACAGAAATGCGCAATGTTAAATAATCCTGGCAACATATTTCTTCTTGTCAAACCGGCGGAGCTCGGCCGCCTCTCGCGCCATCCACGATAGCAAAAAAAGATAGGTCGTAAGATCTTGTTTCAACGGCTTAAGTTTACTATGGCCACGAGATTATTGGTCGTGGTAACACCATCTACTAGTTCCAACAAAATAACCTATGGTAATATGTTTTTTTTAGAAACACCTATGGTAATATGTTGCTGTGACAAAAAGAGAAAAAAATATTTGCAGCGGGCGAGGCAGCTCGTCTGGTTTTGGCCCGGCTCTCTTATGGCTTGTTATGGCCCCACTTATTAAAGCCTTGTTTGGATGTAGTCGGATTCACATTAATCCACATATGTTAGGGTAGATTGGAGTGGAACTTGAACTAAATTCCACCCCAATCCACCTCAACACTGGTAGATTGGGCCGAATCTGACAACATCCAAACACGGTCTAAGAAAATAGGCTAAAACTCTAGCTCCACTTTTGGCTAGTTTTTTTTTCTCGATCACGCAAAAGGTTTGTGTGTCTTTGTATTAAGGTAGAGAAAAAGATCGATACAACACGCCTTCGGACGCCCTAAGGGTCAGTAAAGATTTATATGGAAGCTCAAACCCTCTACAGTGTACTGTAAGATAGGTTGTTACATTGGACAGAGATCGACCCAAATTTGCGGCGCTGGCAAGGAGGCCTATGCCCTAGCTGCCGGACGGCGGTGCCGCTTGCTCACGCCTACATCTCCAACTAGATGGATCAACTCAAGCAACGCCTGCATGTGAGCGGGGTCGCCATTCAATACCTCATCGTACGTCATCGCCGACGTCGACGCAGGGGGCATCCTGCTGGAGAGTCCTAGGTGCTTCATGACAAGGTACTCGCCTCGCTTGGCTGTCGGGATATGAGCTGTGGCCTGTGCCGCTATCCGTCTGCTTCGCTTGGGGAGCGAGAGCGGTGCACGTCCGTCGAGGGCTGCCTCATTTCTGGGCAGCTCGAGAAGTGGTGGCTGCCTTTGTCTTTGTAACTCACTCGGTGAAGCGCTTGAGGTGTCTATCGGCCGAGGTCGTCTTTTGGCTAGTTCAGCTTGTAAGCTGGATTGTTAACAACGATAACCAATGCATAAATTGGAAGTACTAACTTGTTTTATGCAAACATCAAGCAATAAATAGTATACATATATTCTAGACTTAAATAAAGGCATATATCATAACATCAAGTATAATCTCTGTCTTGTTTAGGGTGGTTGACTGTCAAGTGCTTTGCTCATTTAGCTCGCAACATGGATCAATAACTTAACGAGCTAAATTCTTCAAAAAAACAAATTAACGAGCTAAAATGTTGTCTTTGTTGACAATGGTTGTAAAAGATTTAGATCTTAAGTGAACCATTTATCAATTTTGTAGACCAAAATTCATAATTGGGGATCAAGGTAAATTCATTTGCTTCAATCGATATTTCCAATCGCAGGATCGGTTCGACAAATTTTCCTGATGGAACGGGCTAAAGATACCAAGATCAATCCAGTATGGCGTTTGATGTATACCCCTTCTCCTTCTGCTATGATAGGGACACGAAACTGATCATGGCAAGTTAGTTACCTAAACATAGGAAAATTAAAGCTTCAATTCTCGTGACTTGTCAGTGCTGTGCTTGTTGCAGATTAAACAAAGGTGAACGATCATTGAAATGCAGCTGACATGTTCTGGAAATGACGTTGCTGGTTCCTGCTTAAAGAAAAATTTCAAGTGAAATTCCTCATCACGCAAGTACCAAAACAAACTGCCTCGCGAAATGCGTGGCCAACCGGGTTGCGTCCTCAGCCCCAAAGGTGACACCACTCCGTGAGCCTAAGGGAGCAACAGGGTTAGTTATCTATTGACAGCAAAAATGTATTAAGTGCAATGGTTAGGCTGTTAAGTGTCACGCCACAAATTTTCTATTTTAAGTTTTAAATTGTGAAAAAAACACAAAATAAAATAAATTATTTTACTATCTTTCTAAAACTTTCTAAGACTTATTTAAGTTCTTTATAATTTATAAAACAAGTTATGATTTTATAACTTTTTTCACAATTTTATAATGAGATTGTTGCATTCATGTTGGTTGCATAATTTATTTTGTTTAGGTCTCGAATAGGTTTTGTTCTCTTTCAGAAAATAAATCTTTAAAATTTGTTTCAAAAACTAGTTCTCAAAATGAGTTGTCATTTAATTTTCAATGTTAATGGATTATTTTAGAAAAGGGATTAATTTTGCAATGTAATTTTAAAATACATATTAAAAAGTTTAAGTAATGTTGAAATTTATGTTTGAAAAAGTTTTAAAAATAATTCATTTTTATAGAAATCTTCAAAATAGTTTTCAAGTGATTTCTCAATTTTTTGTTTTTTTTAAAACATGCAAAATAGAGTAAAGATTTAAAAATGGGTTTGAAAAGTTTGAAAAATAATTTGGTGTAAATCTATTTGTAAAATGAGTTGAAAAATAGTTGATGTGTTTTGAAATTTGAAAATCTGTTTTGAAACCGCTTTGTAAAAAGAATTTAAAAGGTGCATTTGAAAGAAAAGAAAAGGCTGTGTTTCTCCATCTTTCTCTTTTCGGCCCTCAACCGAGTCCAGCAGGCCCTGGCCTTCTCCGTTTGCGGACCTCTTGCGGCACAGTGGCCCATGCAACCTAGTGGGGAAGCCCAGCTCACCCACTCCCACTTCTCTCTTATGCCAAGGCCCAGCCAGCAAGTTGTCGTTAAAGTGTTACAACATTTGTGCTCTCTGTCATGAGGAGCCTATATTCTTTTTTATTACATCGTTACGCTGGATGATTTGTCTTATGAGTTAATTTTGTTGCACTCTTAGCTACTCAGGTTTAAAAGAATAAAATATGATCAACTAGAAGTGTTTACTGCAGTTTAGTCGAGTCTAGGCTTTTGAGCCTTGCATAACATCAAGTTATACTTGTTCGGCATGATAAGCTCATACATGCTTAAATTCAAAAAAAAAATCCTAAATGGGTACAATATGAAGCATTTGATGAATTTGTCCAAAGGAGTTCCATAAGTCCTAGGCATGTGTTCGCCCGGTCCCTATTAAGTGGAAGCCCAAAGAGAAGATTAAGAACCATCTCTGCAATGTAGTGCTAATGGTTTGTGGCTTAATGTAATGTTTAATGTTACGTAATAAAGCATGGTTTCAGATATTCTCATTATTTTGTCGCTATATATGTCATCTGGATATCCTAGACACATATATGGAAAGTGTTTGGTTTTCTTTGAAAAATCGGTTGTGAAATCCAAGTGTCTGATGAGCTGGAACATAGGTTGGTTAAGTGTTTCGTTTTAGCTATTTAATTACAAATCTTCTATAACCAAATAGGAGAACTCCATTAACATATTTTTCTGCAATTTGGTGAAGCCTCGTCAGCATGGGTCCCACTTCTTTCTCATGCAGCCCAGCCACGAACGCATCTTTCTGCCTGTTGTCCTTCACGCAAACACAGCCCGAAGCGTCCCACCCCACCCATCCATATTCAATACTGTTTGACAGTGGTTATAATTGAGAGAAAGAGAATGAATCGAACTGCACTTTTCCATTGAATGATCTCGGTATTTATATAAGTTGGGAAGACACCATGGGAGTCGTGAACGTCGGTTCGGTAACGTGGTCGCGAATGGTATCCCTCCCAGCGATGTCGGTTCCTAGGAGTAGAAGGGAGAGACGCCGGTTGGGGAACGGATCGCAATTACAAGGAGATTTTACATTGATAGTAGGATTAGATCTAAGGCTAGGACTTAATCCACATCACTAATCTGTGGGTTAGGATCCGTGTGGATGTGATCACTCTAATCCTATTGGTTCATCTCCTGAGGCAACGGATGGCTTCTTAACACTCCCCCTTGATCGCATCCAGTCTTGAGATCAATCAATAGCTTCAGAACCTCAAAAAAACTTTGTAGGAAAAAATGAGGTGATAATGTTGATGATAAGTCATTAAACTCTTAAAAACCCAGTGGGAAAAATCAGGAGAAATAATATGACATATTTTTAGATTATTGTCCATTGTAAACTTATATGAGAAAACCTTTACAGAAAAACCCCATAATTTAGTTTAGAACAATATTATGGTCTATAGGCCATAATTAGTATAACCTCCCCAAAACCACATGGGAAAATATGAGGAGGAAAAAATATCTTTGATATTCCCATAAAACCTCTTACGAGGAAAATAGGAAATATGACATGTTGTGATTTGATATTGCCTCGTTAAAAACCTTATTTCTGAGAAAGTTTATAAAAGCTTAAAGGCCTTATTCGGCTTACCTTATAATCCGCATTATTCAGCTTGTTTTTTTAGCTAAAACATTATTTTTCTCTCACAACAATTCAGTAAAAATAGTATTTTTCGGCCACGCGGAACGGGGGCATAATAGGAAAAGAGTGGAATATAATGCTTAACGCAGATTGTTATTTTCAGAGTATGCCATCCTCTTCGGAGTGCCGCTCACCCGCCGCGCTCCACTGCTCGTCGACGCTGTTCGCCTGGCGGAGAATCGCTCGCAGCACCGGCGCATCTTCGGCCGTCGTCGTCGTCGTCGCCGTGGACGCCGCAGCCGTCGTCGTCATCGCCGTGGCCGGGGCAACCGCGCACAGCGCCTCATCGCCTCCAGCGTCGCCCAGGCTTCTGGAACTGCTCCGGCACCACCAGCGCCGTCCGCACCACCAACTCCACCGGCTACGCCCGTCCGCCTGCCGTCGCCGACTCCTGGGTCCTTCACCCTGGCGGCCGGACCAAGGGAGGGCCCTGCGCCGTACACCTTCCAGGAGGCCGGCTTCAACGCCACCGGATCTGGCACCACCGCGGCTCCAGCAGCCTTCCCGGCGACAATCCTGGCGGATCTGGCACCAGAAACTCCTCCACCAGTCTGGGAGCGTCGCGTTCGTGGCCGGAGCACCACCACCGCGGACTACAGTCCCGGCCTCCGTCCCGGCTCCAGGACTTCAACTTTCCAGAGGCTCTCCAACGGCATCCTCCCCTGCGGCTTCAATGGCCAGCCTGGTCCCTCCGGCGCGGGGGGCTACTCGCCCAAAGCAGCAGCAGTAAGGGAGCGGCGGCGCTCAGTGGACTGGATGGATATGTTCTGAACCATATCCCCACACTACTTTATTTATTTATCCGTCTCTGCCGTACAGCAAGTCTGTACGCCCGTCCAAATAAATCTGCCTCCCCCATGTGTTTTTATTATTATATTCTGACTTGTGACGCTTTTTTTTTTCATGTGGCTTATAAGTCATGAAAAAATATTATTCGTTAACTGATAAATAATGACTTATAAGCCATGAAAAAATATTGTTCATTGATTGATAAGCCATGCCTTATAAACTAAATACGACCAAGTGAACAGGCTAATCCTTTAGGATTTTCATATAATTAGCGCTGCATGTTGTGTTAGGGATTGGAATAATGTTATGTGCCAAGACAAATCCAATAGCATTTGTTCCCGTTCTATTTTATTGCAATTATTTAAATTCCTTACATTTTTGCAATACGGCACAAATTTAAGCCAACTTTACCTGTGCAAAGTTGAAATACTTAAATATATGTCACACTCAATTCACGTATACCTACCTTAAAAAAATATTGGATATTTAAATTTATTTGCATATGCAAACAATTCACTTTATAAGGTCCATAAATTATGTCATCACATAATCATTATCTATAAAGTGTTATTCCAATATTTAATTTTCACATTAAATATATCACTATTTGATTCAAATTTAAGGTTCATGTTTAATATTTAAGTTTCTACTTACATATATTTACAACACATCACGCGTGCCTTACCTTATAAACATTTATACAAATGTAAGCAAAATGTCAAATGTTAGCACCGTAAAAGAGTTTGAGCCACTTGCTCTTGATGGACATAATTTTCCAACGTGGTCAACGGACCTCAAAGTTAGTCTCTCTTTACGGGGATTCTGTCAGGCCATTGTTCCACCGCAAGAGGGTACTGCGGCACCTGACGACAAAACCAAGTATAATGCCTTATACATCATAAGGGCTCATGTACATCCAGACCTAAAGTCTGAATATTTGATGGAGGAAGATCCACGTCACTACTACAGAAATTATTTTTAGAAACGGCTCGTAACCCTTTGTAGGAACGGTTTGGTCAGCCGCCCCTACAAATTGATTTGTAGGGATGACCTGAGAACCGCCCCTATAAATCAGAGGCGGCTCGTATTACCAGCCGCCCCTACAAATAGATTTATAGGGGCGGCTGTAGTACTAGCCGCCTCAAAAATACCTGATTGTAGGGGCGGTTCAATCTAGAACCGCCCCTACAGTACGTTTTTCCACAAAAAAATTCAAATTTACAATTCAAATTCGACCGTAACACTGTTTGTTTCCGCGTATTCCATCCAGCATTCGCGTTGCCGAACGCCCCGCGACCAATGTTCCGAACCGCGTTCACGTTACCGAAGGCCCCGCGACCAACGTTCCGAACCCCTTAGACTACAAGCACAAGAGTATTATATAAACTACAATTACAAGTCCAATTCACAAGAATATATACAATCTATCATTAAATATACAAATTCTATATACATTGTTATCAACGTCCTAGAGCTAGCCTTTCAGTCTCACGAAGGTGTTGGTACTAAGGATTTCTACCTAAGTCAGACTCTCGGTCATGGTAGACGCCTTTGACGTGTACAATCTGGTCCAATATAAAGTTGCAAAGGTCGCCGACGAGCTCTAAGAGTTGGTCATCCTTATATGGGTCTCTTTTCATTCCTTTCTCTTCTTTCCACTACAAGAGAACAAGTTTCGGTTTAGTATTTCATACCATGTATGAAGTTTTTATACTATGGGTGAAGAGGTTCAAACTTACCCTTAAGGGGTGTCTCCTGTAGGCACCGGTGTTACTCATCATAGAACATATATAGTATCCACAATGTACACTTCTAGGCTTCTGTTTGGGGCACTGTGTGTTTTGCATATGAAAATGTTAAGTAATGCTTTTGACAGCCATGTAACAGAGTACTGAAGAAGTAAGTTACACTTACCGCATATAGTGTTTTTATAGCCAGCTTTTTCTTCCTTGCTGGATCATGCCTTCCGTGATGATTAGTGACATATAACCTAAATGCCCTGTTCGAATTATTTTAGCAAATACAACTTGTTAGAATCCAAAAGTGAACGTTACAAGTACGTATACAAACATATAAGCTAATGAGGATTGTCGATATGTATACGTCTTGAGAATCGATATGAAGTCTTTGTATGTTACCGGGTCCCTATCTATTGAATCAAAGACCCATGCTATGCTCCTCCCGACATCGACGGCTATACAAATCTAGTGGTTGCTGCATGGATTTAATCATAGAACTAGATAAGCTCTTTTGCATCGAATAAAATATATCAAACAAAGCTTTAAGTATAGAGTTGAACTTACTCGAAGTTGTATGGTAGCCATATAGTAGAGTGTTGTTGGAGATTTTTGAAAGCCAGGGCAATGTATGTCGCAACCTTAAGGGACCCTTCCCTTAGTTTCGCCGTACGGATGCGCTCTTTCTCCCGAAGAGTCTTTGCAGCAGCTAGCTCTTTGGCATCCAGTGTCCACTGTTTAGGGTAATTAAAATTTGTTTGGTATAGCTTGAGGGTCTAGATACCCGGCTTTCACATTTGGCATTTGTTTGACAATGTGCACTTGCATTCTACAAATCACGACGTGGGTTAGTTACAACAAAATTCAAAGATTACATTCATATTATATCGGGAGGACAAGGACTTACAGGCACCATGTGTGAATTAGATTCATCTCCATTTCTCCCAGGTGAAATCATGTGTGCATGTCATTGAAGTCAAAGACAATTTTTTCGGCTAGGCTTCCAAATGTGCCAGTGGGGAAGCATGCTTGTATGAGATCTATGCTCGTTGGGAGAACACGCAAGTACCAATCATGGAACCTTCTCATTCCAAGTGATAGGCGCTAGATGTCCCGGTTTGGTAGAAAGGGCTTGCCTCTTTCATATGTTTTTGGGCAATCCTTTGACCATTTGATGGCATCAACATTTGGATACTACTTTGCAATTTGGTAGAGTTTGCTAGTGACGGCCTCCTCAGAACCCCGTGATGGGACTTTTTTAACTTGGTTCTCAGGCTTGAACTAGTCATGGGAATACCACTTGGACACCGACGAGACGTCTTTCATCGGAACATAAACTGGCCTTATGGTGATTAGATGCTTCTTTCGAAGTTCCCATTCAGGCACGTCCTCATCTTCTTGTGCATCACCTTCTTCAGGAGGCACTCATTGTTCATGTATCGGCTGTGCTTGTTGAGAAGATTGTGGCATCTCATCATGCACTTGCTCGGTACGAGCTGGAGAAGGTTGTGGCATCTCATCAGGCACATGCTCGCTAGGAGGCTGGGAAGAATGTGGCATCTCAGAAATGTGGTGGTCACGAGATGGTGAAAATATCTCCCCGACCTCAACAACTCGCTCCAAATTTGGGAGAGGGGGAGGCGGTGAAGAAGCAGTCAATATAATGTCCCATTTGTGCCAGAGGATGAACTGCCCCATAACGTCTTCGAGTAACACCAGCCCCTCGAAAGTTGCGTAGTCTATCCTCCACTGCATGAACTCGGGCTTCACTGTATGCACCTCGACCCTAGTGTAGTCCGGCGGTATCTTATTATTGTGGTGTAAGCCACCGGGAGGATGTGCCACACCCGTTGCCACCTCCATCACAGTGTTCTGTCGGCCGCTGAGAAACACCAAGGTGCAACTAGTTGGTTCCCATATGCGATCGACGGAGGTTGTGGCTGCAGTGGAACCTTGGCTGCTAGAAACTTTTGGAGGGCTGCCAACTAATGCCAGTTCTCCCGGCAGCGTCACTAACATCCGTGGCTCCATAGACTGTCCTTGCACCTCCAGTGCCTTCGTAACTAGAGCCTTTACTTGGAGGTCAAGATTAGTCTCCCGATCTCTGCCATGTTTCTTGTACATGTGCCTATCCTCTTTGAATCCTTGCTTCTAGGTCATCCTTTTCCCTAGCCCCCTGGTGCGGCCTGCGCGCTCCTTGTTTCCCAAGCCAAGGCTAAGCTCGTCCCTCTCTCTGGAAGGATTGAATGAGCCCTTCTCCTTGTGTTCAGCATATTTTAGTATCCTTGATACTGCCTCTTGGGTCTCTGACTTATCAAACTTAAGATTACCGCCGGATGATTCTGTACTCCTCGCATATATCCAATTCCTTGAGCGTACCTTCAAATTTGTCACATCGATATTCCTAGCAGCTACGGCCTCTTCGTCCATCTTCCTAAACTGCTCTTCCTTGGCATAGTAGCCACCAGGGCCTAGATGATGGTGGTGTTTGTTCCTCTTCGCCAGCTTGGTGTTACGGGCACTAAGCTCCAATGCCTCTGGTAAAGTCTTTTGAGCCACGAGCTCCTTCCATTGACTAGGAGTTATTTTGCCGAACTCGTTGAAGGGAGTTAACCCCTTTTGGATATACTTCGTGTTGAGCTCCGACCTCCAACGTTAGAATGACTCTCCCATCATCCTGAAAGCATTTTTTACCAGTTCGTGCTTACCCTCCGGAAATCTAAAATTGAGCTTCAGCTGCTTATCCCATAGTTCATTCTTTTTGTTCTCTGGTACCTCTTTCCAGTTAGGGATTGCTGGGTTCAATTTATCTCTTACTAGGGCCCCGATCACATTACAGAATCGTCCTCTTAATTCCTTCGGCTCAAGAATCTCTCCTGCTGGCCCGACCTCCGTTATCACATAGCATGCCTTATCTGGATATAGATTTCCTTTTCTATCCCCTCATTTCCTATTAGGCTTTGTAGTCGTGGTTGTGTCTTGAGGTTGTGGAGCAGAGGCATCGTGATCCGTCTCTGTGGTTGTTGCCTCTGCTCTCCTTTCCTCTACTCTGTCTTGTCCAGCGAGATGTCACGGACATCGACGTCGTCTTTTCCGAGTTTTAGGAGGGACCTGTGTATACGATAGGTCAAAGTGTTAGCAGAGGTAACACAGCTAAAGCTTTAGCAAAATTTATAAGCTAAGGCTTTTTCCGTACCTCCTCGTTCGGGTCAAAATCCTTGTCCAAATCTTTCTCCGTTGGCCTCC